TTAAAAAATATCAAGGTTTCAATATTTATATATGAAAAAAGTATAGTACCTATCAAATGAAGGATGGATACACAAAATGTGGCATATCATACAATGAAATATTATTCAGCCTTAAAAAGAAATGAAGCACTAATACATGTTGCAACATGGAAAAACCTTGAAAACATTATGCTAAATGAAAGAAGTCATGAACAAAAGGTATGATTCCACTTAAATAAACATGTCCAGAATAGAAAAACCCATGGAGACAGAAATTCAATTAGTAGTTAACAAGCTTACAGTCTAGTTCTAATTGTGCTAAAGACTAACAGCATGAGCTTGGGCAACTCTCTTAGTCTCTCTAAATCTGTTTTCTTATCTGAAAAGTGAGGATAAAGTGTGCCTTCCTTCCAAGTTTGTTTGGAGGCTCAATAGATGAAAAATGAAAAAGTACTTGCAAGTGTGAATGAAGATGAAATGTGCAAATGAAGATGGTACACTTATTCATTTTATTAGTGGTAGTAGTAACAGCAAGTCTGGCTTATATCAAATTAAGATGGTGACTTGCTAAATTTATAAAAACTTAGATCTTTAAAATTGACCTTATACAAAGTAAATAACACATTATATAATTTTAATTGGTCACCGTTACCAAAGAATGAATGAATATATATATTGGAGAAATAACAAATATTATGTATAATTATGGACCTCAGCTTGGGTCTATTTCATGTACTTTTTTATCCTCCTGTGACCACTCTGATAAAAGTGGTTTTCTTAAATCAAGCTGTTTAACTTGATCATCTTTTTCAGATGCCAATCTTGAGTTCCAATTCAGCTAAATAAATATTTGATTGTTAGTACAGAAATTCAGTAGTAAACAATTTATTTCCATTTAATTGTTGAAGCCTAAACTCATCATGGCTAATGTGGAAAAAGGCAGTTCTAGTAAAAAATTAAAGAACTGGAAGGTACTGATTCAAAATTTTTACATTTGACTCAAATTTGTCCCAAGTAGTTAACATTTCCATTTCCAATATATTATCATAGTCGGAACATTTTATAAAAGGGCTGCCAGCATTTACAGCAGTAGTTGTTTGCTTTGCTACAAATATAATTGCATTGAAAATATTCTTAAAGCATTTAAGAAGTATTTGGTTTATTTGTCAATTTTATCTAAAAAAATGAAAAAAACAGAAGAAAAAACATTTGGTCTTCAGAACAGAGCAAAGTTGGAAACAGCCACTTTAACAACCAACAGAAATGAAAATATTTACTTCTGAAACAATGTTTTCCATGGAAGTCAAAATTTTGGTTGTTAAAATGATAACAAATGATTAAAAAATGTTGGAAAATGAAATATTTCTGTGCAATTTCCCGAGAAAGGGTAAACTTTAAGTCAATGTCAGGGCCTGGAGTCACATTAAGTAGTTCATTAACCAATTTGAACTTAATTAGCCCAGGGTATCAAAGAGGCTCCCCAGTATTTAACATGCTTCCCTGGGTTTATATATGCATCTAGAAGGTTTCACAATGCCCATCCACAGTTAAATTATATTATATGTATCATTAATAATAATGCATTAGTTGGGATTCTTTTGGTTGTAAACTATAGAAGCTCAATTGCAAACTGGTTTAAGCAGAGGGAAAAAAATGATTGCTCTATGTAACTGAAAAATCTAGGGGTTGGAGTTTTTTTGGGGGGTATGGCTGGATCCAGGTCTTCAAATAACTGCTTTTATTTTATTTTTACTTTAGTTAATCCTCACCTGAAGATATATTTTCCATTTATTTTTAGAGAGACTGGAAGAGAGAGGGAAAAGACAGAGAGAAATATTGATGAGTTTCTCTCACATCCATTGGTTGCCTTCCGCACATGCTCTGGGCTGGGGAGGAGCCTGCAACTGAGGTATGTGCCCTTGACTGGAATTGAATCCCAGACCCTTCAGTCCACTAAGCCAAACTGCTTTTATTGCTTTTGTTTAATTCTTAGGCAGCCTCTATTTGCAGCCCCAGGTTCACCTCACCCCTATAACTAATCCTAGGGAAGTGCTATTCTCCCTTTCACTGCTTCCAGAAAGGCCTGGGATGGTGTCTCATTAATTTAAATCCATCACAGTGGCAAATCCCTGAATACGCTAATTTACTAGGCCTGGGTCTCCTCCCCACCTTGGATAGATCAGGGGTACGGGTGGGGTGGAGAGTGGGTTACTGGCCATCTTGTCTTAACCACATGGATTTAGAGTGAGGCAAGGAAGATTCTCTATAGGAATATTGAAGTATGCGCAGGCAAAATGAAATTTGATACAGCCCTTTCTAGAATATGATCATATTTAATCTATTCAAATTGTGAGGTTGCTATTATTCCTATTCCACAAATAAGTTTTTGTTGGTAATCCTCCCACATGTTAATAGACTTTCTGAATTCTGCAGGACCTCTCAAAATCAGGGTTATAAGGAGCAAATTAGGATACCTTTAACTTTATTGTCACCTTCTACTTTCAGCATTTCAGAGATTGCAGTTTCTCAAAACCTATGCCTAATTTACCATAATAAAATAATATTCCCTGTTACTAAAATTCCCTCTGTTCTACCTTGGAGAGTTGAGAACTATGGGTTCTGGCAAATTAGGTGAAACCTTATCACTGTTACTAGAAAGAGGCATTTGTTATAAGGCTAATTTATCCTTAGACTTCATCCAAGGACATTCATAAAATCCCAAAGGACCTTATTTCCAAAGATGTTAGTTTACACTTTAAGGCCTATGGCAATTCAGTGTCAATGGATCTGAATGAGCTATGTAAATTGGGGAAGATTGAATTGTAGCTTCTTAAGCCTGAGAAACCCTGACCTCATTTAGTGTCTTTCAAATAAGCTGCCACAGTAAAATTAAAGGACTGTTGTTCATCTATTATCACTTTATTCATTCATTCATTCAATTAACCCACACTTCAAGTGCCTTCTATATACCAGGTCATGGAAGGCAGCATTTAATAAGATGTTTCTCCTGTCCTCCAAGACCTCAGAACCTAACTAAATCTTCAACCTGCAAGCAATTACAACACATGATGATAATCAGTATGAAGGAGATAGGAGAGAAGGTATCTGGCTCAGGGAATGTGGCAAAGTTTCACAAAACTGGTAATCATTTTTTTTATCCTCACCTGAGGATATGTGTATTGATTTTAGAGAGAGAGAAACACCCATGTGAGAGAAAAACATTAATCTTTTGCCTCCTGTACAGGCCTGGAAAAGGGATTAAGCCCACTTCATTTTGGTGTACTAGACAATGTTCCAATCAACTGAGCCATCTGGAAAGAGCAGGTAATCATTTTTTTAAAGTTTATTTTTTTATTAACAGTATTACAGATGTCTCCCATGTTCTACCTTTTTGCTGCCCGCCATCCAACCCAACCCCGCCCTTTGGTGACTGGCACTATTCACTTAAGTATATTGTTTTCAAGGTTCATCCATGTAGTATGTATCAGAATTTCATTCCTTTTAAAGCCAAACAATATTCCATTGTAAGGATAAACAACAGTTTGTTTATCCATCTATCTCTTGGTAGACATTTAAATTGTTTCAACATTCTGGCTATTATGAATAATGCTGCTATGAACATTTATATGCAAGTCTCTGTGTGGGGAGATTTTCATCCCTCTTTGGTAGATACCTGAGAGTGGAATTGCTGGGGTTATATGGTAACTCTATATTTAATTTTCTGAGAAACTGCCAGACTCTTAACCACAGTGACTGCAATAATTTACACTCCCATCAACAATGAATAAAGTTGTGGGTTTTTGTTTTTTTTTCCTAAATGACCCCATTTTTTATTTATTTTTTGATGTTTAAATTTATTTTTATTGTTGAGAGTATTACAGATGTCCCCATTCTATCCTTGTGCCCCCTTCCACCTGGTTCCCATCCCCCCCACCCCCATTCCTTCACCACCCTCTGTCTGTGTCGAATGGGCAATGCATATATGCATATAAATTCTTTGGTTAATCTCTTCCTGCCTCCCCCACCGCCTGAGATTTATCAGTCTGTTCCATGTTTCCATGCCATTCATTCTATTTTATTCATTAGTTTATTTTATGACTTCACTTTTATTTTTATTTTTTAAATTTTATTTTTATTGTTGAGAGTATTATAGTTGTCTCCCATTTCCCCCCTTTTACTCCCCTTTACCCAGCTCCCACCTCATCCCAGGCCTTTACCTCACTACTGTGTGTCCATGGGCTATGCATATATGCATATAAATTCTTTTGTTAATCTCTTCCCACCCCTCCCCCAGGTTTTCCATATTCTTTACATTCTTGCCAACACTTGTTATTATCTGTATTTTGTTATAACCATTTTAGTGGGTGAGTGGTATTACATTGTGGTTTTGACTTGCATTTACCTGATAGCTAATGATATTCAGCATCTTTCCATGTACTAGGTGTACCAGTTAATAATGCGGATTTTTTCAATAGATGTAGTTACACATATGTTTATATATATATATATATATATATATATATATATATATATATATATATGCAATTTGATATGTATACTATTTTGTTGTTTTGACAGCAAGCTTCAAAACTTCATATGTCAAATTTGCTGAAGGTGTTAACATCATAGATATTTTTATGCTTAAAAATGTTGAATTATACTTCGGGAAGCTTATGATGAACATGCTCCATCTCAAGATACTTGTGAATGCTGGTTTAAATGCTTTAAAAGTAATGATTTTGATGTGAAAGACAAAGAACGTCCAGGTCAACCAAAAAAGTTTGGAGACCAACAATTACAAGCATTATTGGATAAAGATGCTTGCCAAACTCAAAAAACAACTTGCAGAAAGATTTAAATGTTGCTCAGCAAACAATTTCCGGTTGTTTACAAGCAATGGGAAAGATTTTAAAGCAGTGGTTCTCAACCTTCCTAATGTTGAGACCCTTTAATACAATTCTCATGTTGTGGTGACCATAAAATTATTTTTGTTGCTACTTCATAACTGTAATTTTGATCACAATGTAAATATCTGATATGCAGGATGTATTTTCATTGTTACAAATTGAACATAATTAAAGCATAGTGATTAATCACAAAAACAATATGTCATAATATATTGTTAAATATTTATTTCTAATTACAAATAAACGAAAATTTGTCTTGAAGCATGGTGTAGCATACGTAACAGTCTTAACAAAATAACAGTAAACTACATTGCTACATTTTCCGATGATCTTAGGCGACCCCTGTGAAAGGGTCGTTTGACCCCCAAATGGGTCGAGACCCATAGGTTGAGAACCTGCTGTTTTAAAAGAAAAGAAAATGGGTGCCACATCAACTGAATGAAAGTCAAATGGAAAACCAAAAAGTTAGCAGTAAAATGTTGCTTCAAAGGCACGGAAGAAAGTCTTTTTCGCATTGAATTGTTACTGGCGATGAAATGTGGATTTATTTTGAGAATCCAAACGCACAAATCATGGGTTGATCCAAGCCAACTATCAACATTGCCTGCAAGGCCAAATCACTTCCGAAATGCTCTGCGTTTGGTGGGTTCAGGAAGATGTGGTGTATTATGAGCTTCTAAAACCAGGTGAAACCATTAATACAGATCTGACAATACATTATCAATTTGAACCTGCTTTGATCGTGAAATGAACCAGAATGTGCCAAAAGACACGGCAAAGTAATTTTGTTTCATGATGACACACCATCACACACTTCAAACTAAAGAAATGTTAAAAGATCTTGCCTGGGAAGTATTAACCCACCTGCTGTATTCACCAGACCTTGCTCCTTCAGATTACCACTTGTTCTGATCGATGGCACATGCACTTTCTGAGCAGCACTTCAAAACACAAAGAAGTGGAAAATTGGGTCTCTTATGGTTTGCCTCAAAACAAAAATGTTCTATTGTGACGGTATCCACAAATTACCTGAAAGATGGGGGAAATGTGTAGTTAACCATGGACATTACTTTGAGTAAAGCACTTTTGATGTTTCTCTTGAAATCACCATGTTTTCTTTGATTACAAACTCTGCCATTATTAACCAGTACACCTAGTACTTCTCCACCATTTGTGTATTTTCTTTTCAGAAATGCCTATTTAAATTATTTGCTCATTTTTAAGTTACTTTATTAGTCTTTTATCTTAGAGTTGTAAGAGTTCTTTATATATTTTAAACACTAGACTCTTGTCAGATATATGATTTCCAAATATTTTCTCCCATTCTGAGCTGTCTTTTCATTTTCCTGTTAGTGTTTGTTCACACACATTAAAACTGTTTTATTGAAATCAACTTTATCTAGTTTTTCTTTTGTTGTCTGTGCTTTTGGCATGGTATAAGAAACCATTGTCCAATTCAAGATTAGTTATGCCTTTGTTTTCTTCTAGTAATTTTAACTCTTACATTTAGATGAGTGATCTACTTTGAATAATTTTTGTACATGATGTGCGGTGCAGGTTTTATGTATTCTTTTGCATATAGATGTTAAGAATATTTTTTCTCCATTTAATTGTTTCAATTGTCAATTTCAGTTTCCAGGTGCCACTACTATTAGGGGTTTATGTGCTTCCCAACCATTTTTTTACTCATATATATATATATATATATATATATATATATATAATTCAAAAAGTGTTACCAAACTATTAATATGGTTTTGCATTTTACTTTTTTTCACTTGACAATATAGCAGAGTGTCTTTCCCTATGTGGATCAATTGCATACCTTTCTTATTATGCTAAGTAAAGCCTTCTCCACCCCATGGTTATAAAAAAAAATATCCTCCTATATAGTTATCTAGTACTTTTATAGACTGCAATTCTTATTTTTCACTTAAATCCTTATAAAAGAACAACTGTAGCATTGGTGGACTTCATGTCATCTTGTTCACAACAGAAAGAACAATTATAAGGAGTTGCTCCTCTCCCCTCTGCACATAGTCAAGATAGAGGCTGGCAAACATTCTGCCTGTTGACTTGACACATAGATAGAGCTTAAACTGGCTAGAGGGGAATGTGTGTGTGTGTGTGTGTTCCTTCCCTACTCACTCTTGCTTATTGTGCTTTGTGTGTGGACCCTTTCTCCTCAAATATACATCAGTGATTCCCCATAGAGTATTTATAAGGTTTACTTGGAATTATTACCTATATAACATCAGGTCACTCTCCTGACAGACCATTCTGAAAAGGGTAAAGGGTAGGCTCAAAGAAAGAGGTGGCACTTGCCATGAAGACTTCTGGCATTGGAGCAGAGCTGGTAGAACCATTTGGCATTGAATTGTTTTTTTCAGACTTGCATAGCTTTTATGCTGACACCCCTTGGCCTCTTCTCAGCCCACTGCAGCTTCCTCGGGCAGGGCCCCTGCACACTCCTTTAATTCCAGGCCCACAGAGCTCCTTCTTTCCTCTGCCCCATCTTTGGGGGCGTTGGGGAAAGGAAAGAGCTCTAGCTCCTTTTCTTTCTTACTAATCTTGTTTAAGGATCGCCTTCCCTTGCCTTCCTGTGTTCTTGGGCCCTCTCTAAAACGTGTGAGGATTCTCAAGGCTCTGAGGGATTGCAGCCCAGGTATCTATACAGGGGACTTCCTAGGATCCCTGAGTTTAAGAATCTGGGATCTGGAGGGCAAGGGATTTAGCATCCCCAGGAGATAGGAATGAGTGTATGGGGGTGGGGGTGGGGGGCTTGCGCGCGCACATTGGGGGTGGGGAGGGCATATTTCAGCTTCAGCATAGACCCTTTCAGGTTGTTCAGGACTGGTCTCCACTTGGCGCCGGCAGGGACAGCAGTCCTGGCAGGGCCACCTGCCTGTGTCCGCCGAACAACTCCCCCAGTGGAGAATCTTTGCTCTGTCCAGTGCGGGCAGGGATGCTAAGGAACCGCCAAGATTTGCCAGAGTTGCCATGGGAGTGCGAGGACGGGGCGGGCTCCTCCCACCACGTGTGCTAGCCTGGCCCGGCCTTCCCTCCCTGACAATGGGCGACGCCGCAGGGGTTCTCCCTTTTGGCTACTTGAGCCCCTCCTCCACATCCCCCGCCTCCTTGCATCCTCTAGGAAGCTAAGCGGGGGCGCGTGTGCGCACCCTGGAAGAGTTGCCTTCGAGGTGGCTGGTGGCCAGAAGCGCTCCACCGGGCCCCAAACTCTGAGCAAGTTCCCGGGCTCCGGGATCACCACACTCAGCGGCCTCCGGCGCCCCTGGCCCGAGTAGCGGGCTCCGGCGGGAGGGCTGGCCACCGCGGGACCGAGCGGGCCCGAGGGCAGGACCCCTCTGGCGGTGCGGGCATCAGGCACCGACCCGGGGCAGACTTCAGAGGCGGACAGCTGGTGTGGTGGTCCCAGCCCGGACCCCAGTGTGCCGATGGCGGATGATGGTCCCCGGCCCTACCTGGGCTCGCCCGATCCGGAGGAGGAGCAGCACGTGTCTCAGGCCTCCGAGCCACAGACCACCGAGCTGGGCACCAGGACCCCGGATCTGCCCCCGGACCAGCACGCCTGCGTGTCCGTGCCCGATGCCCAGGCGATCACCCTGCAGGTGGACATGGCCGTGGCCCTGGAGCGCATGGACTTTGCGGAGCGGTATGGCCAGAGCTACCTCTGCCTCCTGCATTCGGTCTTCATCGCAGGTAGGCACCCTGCTGCGCGCGCCACCCGGTGGCCCCGGCCCCTAACTAGCTTGCTTCTCTCCCAGCCTGCTCCCTCCTCAGCCCGCCCAGCTTGGCGAGCACACTTTGTCCTCCCTTGCCCCCAGCGCAGGCACCCTGGTCCCCACTGCGTGGCGCTCCCCATTCCTTGTTCGATCCCTTGTTCCTCCTGCTGCTGCTGCGCTGCAGGAAGCGCCTCTTCCCCCTGAGGCTGCAGGCGCCCCGTGAGAAAGTGTGAGCAGCCAGGTGAGCATGTGTCCCCTGTGGCTGGTTCAGGTCTCCTCTCCTTTGACTTTTCTGTGTGTCTCCAGAGAGGTGGGGATGGAGGGTTATCTTCTTCCAAATGCGCTTCCGGCAAACTAGAAGCCAGCTTTCCGTGAGCGCACTTGTCTAGAATATTCCCAGAAGGCTGGAAAAGCGATGATCCGGCATTGAATATTACGTGGGGGGTCCGGGGAGGGGCTCCGGACCAAGTCAGAAAAAGGCACCGGGGCTCTGAGAAGGACTGCACCACAGTTGGAGGAGTTGAAGAGAAGCAGTGGCGCCTGTGACTGGGTTAGTGCATCTTTCTTGTTTGGTCCATGAGCTTCCTACCTCGTGGGGTCCTCGCTACAAGGGCTGAAAGGACAAACAAATAAACTCCACCAAACCCACAAAACCTTTTCTGCTGCAGTCGCGGTATACTTCAGGGGTGTGAGAGGCACAAAGTGAGCTTGGTCACTTGCCATCTGTGATGAGGTGCTAAGTTTTGAGGTTGGTGCTGCAGGTTCTGGGCTCCAAGGGTCTCAGCTCCTTTGGGACCCTGCAGACTGGGGCTCGGGAGCAAGCCGAGAACGGGGTGCAATTCTGGGATTTTTAAGTTCAGCCAGAGCTTATCAGACCAGTTTGCCAAGTACTGCCATGGATCAACACCTCTTCCTCTGTTCAAATTTTCATTTGGTTTAGCAGGTGCTAAGTCTTGCAATGGGAGGTTTGTCATCCAAAAAATAGACCTAGTGGTATCTTTCCACAAATGAGGTAGCCACAACACACGTTCCAAATACCCATGCTTATTCAGGGCTGGCAGGCTCTCTTTTCCTGGGTACTATGGCACATCCCAGCACCTAAATGTTTTCACACTTTTCTGCTTTTCAGTATTTTTAGCAGTGCCATCTCTTGCTGTATGGACCAACTGAGTGTCTTCGAAGTGGTTTGTACCTATGCTGTTAGAACACGGCACTCTTACATGTGAAAAGGACTTCATGTATTAGAAATATTCATATACTTAAAATATGTTTACAAAGCTTTTCATTGTGCTACAGAACTTTCTGAAAGAACATTTCAATAATGTCCACTTATAGACTACTAGAAACATGCTACAGTGTGATAAAATACTTACACTCTGATGTATGATCTGCAGGGGCTCAGCCAGAAGAGGAAATATTGATTCCCCTTAGGGAGTTAAGGGAAGCCTTCAGGGGAAAGGGTGATGCATGAGTGAATTGAATCTTTAAGAATGCAAACAGATTTCCCAGTGGACTGGGGATGGGGATGGGGATGGTTTGGTGGGGACAGGTAGGGCCAGGGGTATTCCAGGCAAAGGAAATAATATGTACAAAAACAAGCAGAAAGGCCACAGCATAGGAGGTTTGAGAAAATTTTTGTTTTAAATGAGTGGAGTGTAAATTGTGGAAAGT